TGCCGTGCTTCCTGCTGGTAGGACCATTGCGCAGGCGCAACCCCGCCCCCGCCTCCTCCGCCATTCCCACCTCAGTCTACCCTACCCCAGCATCTCCTTTCCCCGCAGGCGCAGTTGCTGGCCCTAGCTCTTTGGTTTTCTAAGAATGTATCTGGGAGGGGTGATGCAGGCGTAGGTGACGCGCATGCGCAGCCTGGAGCTCGCTGCGCGAACTGGGTTTATTTTCCTTCCCTTCGCGGTTGGCTGCGAGGAGCCAGTTCTGTTTGATTTGAGTAGGAAAGGTACGTCGCCTAAAGAAGCCCATATACCTCCTGGCCTGCAAAACCGTGGTCTCAGTGTTTTCTGAACCTAATTTAGTGGGTGGAGTGTATAATTCCCACTCAGATGTTGCTATGAAGCAAAGTACTGTATTTGCACTATATTTTGATCCTTATAAAACCGCCTACTATTTGGCATGTCTAAAATTTTTTGAACCCTGCCGCAGAAAGTTGGCTATTTCTCTTTCCTCTCTGGTTGACTATATAAATTTCCATAGTGGCGACAAAAATGTTAAAGCACTTTAACAACCTGAAGCCAAAACTAAACGCGTTTTTTCTCTCCTTTGATCAACTAGGAAATATATGTTGATGTTGTTATATGCTGTCGAGTCGCCTGCGACTCATAGCGACCCCTGTGCACAACAGCCCTAAACCCTGCTCAATCTTAGTGTCTCTGATACACCTCTCCCCGTTATCCCAGTCACTGAATCAATCCATCTCATCGAGGATCTTCCTCTCTTTGCCTGTCCCTCCACCCTCCCAAGCATGACGTCCCTCTCCAAAGACGGATCTTGTCTTGCAACATGAAGAGCAACGACGTCAGTCTGGAGACTAAGGTGTGCCTGATCCAGGCCAAGGTCTTCACAATCACTTGCTATGTGTCAGAGAGCTGGACAATGACTAGGGATGATAGGAGAATTGATGCCTTTGAGCTGTGGTGCTGGAGAGGAGTGTTGAGTATACCAGGAACTGCCAGGAGAACAAATAGGTTTCTCCTAGAGAGGGTGAAACCAGACTGCTCCTTGGAGGCAAAGATTCTGAGACTTGGTGTGAAATTTTTTTTTAATTTTTTTTTTTTGGCATATTGCGAGGAGGGGCCAATCATTGGAGAGGGTCATCATGCTTGGGGCGGGGTGGAGGGGGAAGACACTTGATGAGATAGATTGACTATAGGTGACTGGAATAATGAGGATATGTCTTTTAGAGACTGTAAAGTTAGCACAAGATAGAGTAGGTTTCAGGGCTGTTGTACAGAGAGGGTCGCTATAAGTCTCAAATGACCGATGATACATAACTATAACAACAACAAAGCATTTGCTGAATGCTTACGGCAGATAAACATTCCCTGTCAAATAAAAGAAAGATAGTTCTTTATATGCACAGGAATCCTGCACAAACGAGAAGATCTGTAATGCCAAGTCAAGAGAGATGCTGATGTAAAGTGCTTGCCAGCTTCAGACAGAGACAGGCCGCCCAATAAGCAAGGTAACAATGGGCTTCTTTACTAATCTATCATGGGGGGGGATGGTGTGAAATTGCACAACGTATTTGTAAAGTAGCATTGTGAATACCTTGCTTATTTAATCAAACACAAGAGCCTGAAGATTAAATGCTAGTTTTCTGCCAAAGATAGAAATTAGAGCAGTGCCTTGGAACTCTTAACTCTAGGCCCTTTTGCTAGAACTGGCGAGGGATTTCCTACTCTTAACTTTTATAAGAAACATCTAAGGAGATGAACAACCATTGCTGAGAAGAAATCAAACAATTGTATGGAACATGCTGCTAACTATGCAGCACAGATTGTGTTGCACCCTCTCGCGCCTATCCCGCTTGAACCCTTTGACATATTGAGAATCATTGAATTGAAGGAAGCAGCCTGGAAATCTCTTAAGGACCCATTGACCTGAGTCAATTTTGATATAATGGCCTTATCTATAGACAGAGCAGTACTGGCCTTCTTGGTTTCCAGAGCTGTAATCGTTTCAGAAGCAGACTCCCTCATCTTCCCACGGAGAAACAACCAGTGGATCAAAACAGACCTTACAGTTAGGAGTCCAGTGCTTATTCCACTGCATCACCAGAGGTTCTTCTCTGAGGGAACCCTTTTCCCACCGCCATTAAGTTGGTCTGGCTCATGGGGACTCTCCACTGGGTTTCCAAAGCCGTAAGTACAGGAAAAGCAGTCAAAATTCAAAAGTTGCACTTCTCCCTGTTTCTGAAGTATCTAGGAAGTTACTACATAGATCTTCCATAAGGTAGACCTCTGGAGTAAGAATAGAAGACCTTGCCCCGCCAGCAGGGAAAAGTCTCATTGTTACCAAGTAGAAGCCAAATCTTAGCTGACCTCCCACTGGGTTTTGGACTCCAAATCACACGGGAAAAGGTTGCACATCTTTCTCCTATGGCGTCAGTGGTGGGTTTGAATCTCCAGAGAAGTGTGGCCTTTTGAGGTATTAGTGCCACACGCAATAGCAGAGAGACCTTATACAAGTTTATTGGGGGCTTTTGGTGGTTTTTGTTTTTGTTTTTGTTTTTTTTGAGGAGGGTAAGTCTTAGTTTCTTTATCATTAAGGTTTTGAAATTTGATTGTTGCTATTGATAGGTATCTTTATGTGGACTTCAACTAACCAATGGTTGAAACCCTTCCCAATCCTGAGTCAGCTTCACAATCTCTGCTTTGCTTAAACTGTTACTGTAATATACAGAATA